TGTTGCTCAGCCTCATCTGCCCATGGCACTGTTCGCATAGAGGCACCCGAAGCAGCACAGCTATCTGGCAAAATTAATTTTTCCAATGGCAATGATGGAGTCTTAAAAAAAAAAAATAAATAAAAAGCTTAAAAATAAGCTTTGAAAACTGTTTTGCTAGCTGGTTAAAATTAGCACAGAAAGTACTGAGAGGCGGGCATGGTCATGGAAGCAAAAAGGCATTTTGCTGTTTCATTTCGTTGTGGTTAGGAATACTTGTCTGTGAAGGAGAGGCTCGCCACCAGGATGCTGTCTTCATCAGCCTTTTTGAGATGGAGACATCAACTACAGAAAGACCTGGGGAGAGGGCTGCTGATGGTGAAACGCTATTCCCCGTTGCTTTTTGGTGTTTATCGGAGGTTTCAGGTCCCTCACTCTGCAGCAGAAGAGCTCATGCTTCAGCAGTAGTAGCCCAGTGAGCTAATTTGTCTGAGTGTTTTGAAACAACAAAATGAAGAGAGAAATAGAAAGAGGCAGGCTGCCGCCTTCACAAAATCCCAGAAGTAGGAGTCATTTTTTGGTGTGTCGAAAAAGCCCGCAGACCAAGTCTCCGTTTGTCTGAAAGTGACATATTAGTCTCCAAGAGTTACTTAGAAAAGAGAAAATAAATGGCCCCAGTAGCCAGTAATTTTCTGTTTCTGTGTATTTAAGGGAAAAGAAACACAGTAGCTATTGCCTGGATCAAAATGAGTACTTCACTTATAGATAGGTTGGGCTTTTTTTTCCCCTTTTGCTCACGATTCAGAGAACAAATACCCACGGTGATATTTTAAGGATGCTGTTCTGAATTTTGTTGCCCTTCCAGTTAAAATAAAACACAAAGTTTTGTAGCTGCGAAGGAATTTGGTATATATAACTCAATGAAATAACAGATTCATGGCTGAACTTCTCTTAGCTATTTCTTTATCACACTCAGGGACTGGGCTGTGTACCGAAGAGCAGAAATTCATATGTAGGTTATTTTTTGACCAAACTTTCTCCCTTCTACAGAAGGGAGTAAAAGAACTAGATACAATTCATGTTGGGTAATAGGGCAATGACCAAGAAAGCATTAAATTCTACATTTTTATTAACTCTGGGAACAGTGGGGAAAAAACAAAAAAGCTGGCTGAGAAGCCTGTTCCTGCTCTCCAGAAGCTTCTTGTGGTGCAAATCCACTGATGCCAGGAGGTAACCAAAACAGAGGATCTGTGAGGAGAATTTCATGGCTACTGACATGCTCGGTAGCAATCCTGGCAACTAGATTGCGTGTATATATACTTTCTGATTTTCGGTTGTGAGTATTGTAATTTCTAAGCAGTCCCTTTCTACTTAAAAAGCACCAAAACCCAAACATTCATATTGGGTTAATCCTCATTTTGCTGCTTAGTAGGGGCTATAGTCTAAAACAGACCAAGGGATCCACCATCCCTTCACCAATGGCAAAAATCAAAATGCATGAGAGGAAGAGAAGCGATGGGGGAAAAAAAGAAAGATGTAGAGAGGTAAATTAAACTATCTCAGGCGATGCAGCGGTAAAGCTGGACGAGTCCTGGAGATGCAAAGTAAAGCCCTAGGGCTCATGCTCACCAAATAAAGAGCTGTAGCAGTTCAAGATGTTGCTACCCTTGGGCAACGTTTCCGTCCCCGCAGCATTTATCTCAGAGTCCTGCATCTCTGTGCACTGCTTCCTCAGAGGGGAGCCAAAGCTCTGCCCGGGACAAGGGACCGCGCATCCTCTCTGCATCCTTGGGGACACCGCCACCCGTGGGGTGGGTCACCGGAGCTGGACCTACACCAGCAGCGTTCACCACAGCTTGCCTTGCTGAAGTCTGGTGCTTGACCACATTTTTCTTCTCTCCTGAGTGTATACTTAGTTTTCCTGATGGAAACATGGGGGTGGTGCGTGCTGTGGCTTTTATGGTAAACTGAAGGGGTACATAATGGTAAATGAAAAAGTGAAAGGTGAATACATACATGTATTTTACCTGAGGTTGATTTGTTACACTCAGCTTACTCTGATTTTAATTGTAAGTGGTCATTTGGATAGGGCTTCATCAACAGCAGTTCTTCTTAAAGAAGTGGCAATTTGGAAGGGTTCTGTTTTGGGCACTGCTTATTTGTCTTCTACTGGTGATGATTTAAGCAAGTAGGGTAGAAGACCACAGGAGGATGGAAGTGTCAGGGTGTGCCATCTGTGAACACAGCCTTGAGGCTCATCCTACTCTGAATGTGCATTATCTATCTATGTTAAAAATATCTGGAGTCTAGACAGCTGTGAAATTCTGCAAATGAAAAGCTTCATGCAAATATGATTTCCTTAATAGCAGAACTGTTCTAAAGTCTCTGAACTTGTTTTACAAATCAATGGAGCAAAGTGGCTTTTGTGGAATTATTGCTGCAAATAAGATGAAAATCAAACCCACTGTCTGGAGAATTAGATCTCAAAATAGGTTTTACTCTGAACTTGCACGGTGTTTTGCAAAATCTGGTTTAAACACGGTTGAAAACCCTCACTAAGGGCTGTTACTCTCCTAGATACTTATGAAAAGCAGAATGACTGGTGTGTACCTTCCTTAGGGAAGCTATGTCTACTCTTGGATTTCAGGATGTTCTCAAAGGATTGCTTTCTGTTTTATAAAAATACTGCAAGAAGAAAGCAAAGAAGGAATTCCTACTGTTTCCTTCTAAGCTTCTCCGTGAACGATTATGCTGGCTAGCAAGTTCTGCAATATGCCTAAACGCAAGCCTGTAATCTTTTAATGCATTGAACGCACCAAACAAAGTGCTTTTCAGTGCAATCATACACAGCTAAGCGTATACATTTTTCTGCGTTTTGTACATTCTGTGTTGTTGGTGTAGCTATGGCAAGTATTCATATTTTTTCTTCTGTATGTTCTGTATGTTCTGTATGTTTTTAAATTCCAGTTCGAATGGCAAGCGGGCAGAGTGCTGTACATACACAGAAACTTGCCATCGGTCAGCACCTTTTCTGTGTGGGAAGCGCTGTCACCGCCAGACGTGCACTGGTACATGTGGGGCACGGCAAGGCACTGGGAGCGTGATCAGCGCAGACTTGCTGAGGCCTTCCTTCCCAAGGTTCTGCTGCATGCTCAGGAGACTTGTGGTGTTTAAAGATGAAGGACAAAGCCCAGCTACTGAAGGTAGGGCTATGCTTGGTGTATTTCTCTATTGGATTTTCCCTGGGGGATTTATGTAGATCCTCCTCCTAATGCTGAGACTCCTCCACATGTGCGTGAATCTGCTACCGACATCATCAAATTCTGCCGTGCTCATTGTAGAATTCAAGGTGACTGGTGGGAGCAATAGCTTACGACGTGTACTCTCTTTCACTCCTGGAGATGAAGAGCACCATATGTCTTTCCTGGAGCTCGCTGTGCACAGGAGGGTGAGGCAAACTCCTGCTTGTGAAAACTGAGAGTGAAAACCAGATCTTGCCACACTGCCTTTGTGCTCTGACCTACCTTTTTGGCTGTGTAGTAGCAAAAAAAAATATTTGATTACTATACACTTGCATTCAAGGAGCACAAAGGGTCTGTTTCCAGCTGCTGTCTCTTTTGGGCTTCCTACTCTGTCTTCTCCCTCTCTGTGATACTAGAGGAAGAGCAGTCTTCTGGAAATCAGACCAAACCAGATCTTAAACTACGGACGAAGTCGCAGTTGTTGCCGCCTCTCCACATCAGTGGTTCTGGTAGAAAAGAGGCTTTCGACAAGTGATAGCCACTATGGTGGTGTGTTCCTTGAGATGATACAAAACACTTGGTGGGGGGAACCCCACCTCACGAATATATGTTAAAAACGTGCTATATGTAAACTATGTGCTGGATATTCTAAAAGGAACAAATAGTAATCTTCAACATAAAGGGTTTCTGGGGGAGGGATTACTCCCAGCCATTTTTTAGTATGTTTGTTTCCAGATCTAAATACAAAGAATTCACACTGTGCTAATCATTTTCTGAAACGACTCCCAATTGCCTCCCATGCTTCAGCAAAACTATAGAAAATGACACTTTCTGAAATCTGTGGGTCAATTTAAAAATCCTGCTAGAGTTTCTGTCAAAGAGAGCAAAGCCTGTCTGTTCACATGACTTCGCTTTTTGAGAGGGTGGAAGGTTATACTTTGGAGAGTGGGGGGGGGGGGTTGTATCCTGCTACTCTTTTCTGTCTTTTATCTTTTTTTTTGCTTGATCTGACAGCAAGATTCTGTCCTTGTCATTCATGTTTGTGAGTCTCAGGAGAATGGCACATACCATTTCTGCGCTATTTTTATTCCTTCCTCCTGGTAATCTATTGGTATTTTCAGCCTAAATCGGGTCACCTTGAAGATTCAATAATGGCAGTATGGGAAGCCAATTCTGGAAGAAAATCAGCTGGTTTATTTCATTTTTTTTGTTTTGCTGGATGAGAAAAGGGAAGTTTTTGTCCTCTGGAGAGGATTCTTGAGTAGATTTTTATCTTTGGTGTTCTTAAGCTATAATATAAAGGTCTGGGGCACTGTTTTTCACATTGACAGAATAATTAATCTTAGTTGCGTTGATTGTTTTGCTGTACTTTAGTGGGTAAGTGATTAGAAATGGCTTTATATCACAAGTTAGAGTAAGGTGTCTTATCCAAATGTCTATGAGTTGGCAAAAAAAAATAGGTACCATTTGGTGCGTGGAAAATGGAACTGCATCAGCTACATGGCACTAGCAATGCAGCCTTCCATCTGCATCGTTCTTCAGCCTATTTGTGTGTAGATTATCCCTCATGAAAACAGTAGATGATTTATTGTAATAGCACCTTGATGGCTCTGCTTTTCCTAGGTTAGAGACAACCAAAGCATGACTGAACGGATTCAAACAATGGTTCTGGTTGTTGGCCATCTGTCAGGAGTGTGGCAACGCACACACAGCCCAGCGACAGTACAGGGCCCGACCCTGCCGTTCCCTCATGGGGACTGAGCACTTGGTGCATCTTCTCCTGGAACCATTTCGAGATTTTTTTCATTATTTCAATGGCCTTTGGATGCCTTTGAGTATAATTTTTTGTTGGAAGAAGAATTCAGCTGATGAGCAATTTTTCTTCTGCTTCTGAGAACGCTAGCTCTGGGGGGGTGTGTGTGTGTATAGATATATAGATATAAATATATATATATATATACACACACACCCCTCCTTCATCTTTGAACAGCGTGGGTCTCCTCTGCATGTATTGCAACCTCTGGAAGCTGGCTCACCTCCAGCTCTGTGCTGACCACACTCCAAACACATTACTGAGTGCACTGAGATGATATATATATACACACACATAGGAAGAGTGGAAATTCTGGAAAATGTGTGCAAACTCTTGGCAAGCAGCCAGAGCAAATGTGAGAGAAAACGAATATCTTTTTTTTCCAGATATCTGGGCAGTGTTTGGTCCTCGGG